CAGGCTTTCTATCCATAAACTTATGGAATAAGTTATTCCATATGGAATGGTCCATATGGACTAACCGTATTCCATACGAGATGTCTGTATTCCATACGTATGGGAATACAGCGGAAGAATGTTAGTCCTTTCCACAGGCCGACCACAGGGGGTTTCCTGACTTCGTCGCTCGTGTTCGCGGAGACGCGTTAGGTGCGCTTGGTTCAACCGGCTTTGTGATCTTGCTGCAGTTCTCCATCGCCCTAATGACACCAGTCAGTAGTGCGGGCTCCGCAGCATTTCCATCATCGACCACTGGTCTCCTCTCATCCTCAAGCTCGCCACTTCAAGGCGCACCCAGCTTCATCAGCCGGAAGACGCGAAAGCGCAAGACAACAGCAAACACTTGGGCCCATGCACGTGAACCTCAGGACTCGGAGCCTGTCCGCTGCCCTCGCAAGAATGAGAAGATTTATTACTGCATGCACTGTATAGATCCGGCGTATTCCACGACTGTCTCAACGACGTTCCGCCATCATCTGTTCAAAATCCATGGGATTGAGTTAGATGCGCAAGACGATCCTATCAAAAGGAAGCGCAACAGCCTCATTCAGGATGCCTTTGCCAAGGCAGGTGAGGTGAGCTCTACAAGGCATCTTCTCAAGCAGGAAGAAACTCTTCGAGCCGCAGTCAATCGGAAGGCGGTTCTGGAGGCATTGATCCAACTTGTCACAGTCCGTAACCTCTCCTATAATTGCAGCTCTTGGCCAGAGCTGCACGCACTTGTTTCCGCAGTCAACTATACTGCACAGGACCTGATCAGTCTCTCTCATGGTTCCATACAAAGGCTTGTCTCCAATTCGTACTGCGTGCATAAAGATGTTCTGCGAAGGAAGCTCCAATCCTCGCCATCAAAGCTCCATCTTTCCGCAGACGTCTGGTCGGCTCCAAATCACAAAGCCTTCCTTGGCATTTGCGTCAAATGCATTGACCCAGACTCTAAGGAAACATTGCAAGCACTGTTGGCCTTGCCAGAGCTGCCAGGACTCGACGGGCCGGGTGGCCATGGGGGAGCTGAGCAATGGAAGCTACTCCAGCCCGTCCTCGAAGACTACAACATTTGGAATAAGGTCGGTTTCTATACCGGCGATAACCACGGCTCAAATGACAA